AGCTAAAAGCCAGTCTCTGTGTTCCTGTACCCACTGTAGACGAGCAGTTATATGTCTAGGAAGTAACCTGGGTACTCTTAATGGTCTCCTAGATCGTAAATTGGCTGCAGCAAGTCTCCATCGTATTGTGGTACTGGAAATGAATCGACCATACGTTCTTCTAAAATGAGTTCGGACAGCTGAGACTGTTATGGTTCGATTCCGACGTACACAACCTGCTAGATACCGATCTTCTCTTGGATTAGTTACCCTAGGACGTCCAGTCCCACGTCTCCAGTTAACGCTGTTAGTTTCCTGGTACAAACGCACTATTCGAATAACTGAAGCGCGGGGAATCCCTAGTCTATCCGCGATTCGATGATTCGACAGACCCTCATCATGCAAAGCCACTATTCTTGCTCTATTGAACACTGAAATTCTATTGCCAGGCATAGTTGCAAAGACAAACTCAACAATCACTTAAACACGCTAAATCAATATGAACCATTTTTTAAACATTGGTACCTAAAATTGTGGGAAATTGTTTTTGTAAACATTTTTAGATGTGTATTAAAGGTAAAATAAATAAAGATTAAATGTACAAAAAAGCAGTCATGATAAATATTTCGTTTTAACATTTACTAGGGGGGTCCAAGAATTTTGGCAATGTGGGGATTTTTATACCGACAAGTTATATCGTAAACGTTTTTTCATATCTTCATTGCCAACTAAAATACTAAAAAGATGAGACAAAATTTATAGAGAATGACGTCCCAAACTACTCTTAATAAAAGAATTTTCTTCTACAATCATAAATATCCTTTAGGTTAGAAAAATGCACCCTCTATAAAGTACCCACCATATTCTCCAATCATGTCTAAAATTTACTCAGCTTACCGCAGAATGGATTAAAGCTTAAGTTTTCAATTTGGTGTTTTTTCTGTATCCGTTTTTAATTTATCGTGGATACACGGACTCAAGATAAATAGTACGCAAACAGTACACAGATTATGTAAATAGTATGCAAATAGAACGCATATAGTATCCAAATAATACGCAAATAGTACACAAATTATACATAAATAGTACAAAAATAGATAAAAATTAGGTTGATGAGATATAAAGATCTCGGCTATTAATATTTAAGTTGATAATCTAAAAAAAAGTCGTTGCTCAATTTTTCTCCAGGTCACCAACGCCTGCCAAGTGGGAATACTATGGAACCCTACATATTTAGTACCAGATAGTACAAAATAGTACACAAATAGTTCACAAATAGTTCACATATAGTACACATATAGTTAACATATAGTTCACATATAGTTCATATTATATAGTACACAAATTAGTTCATTAGTAAACATAGTATACAAATATTACGCGAAGTACAGAAATAGTCACAAAATATACCAATAGTACAGAAAGAGTACACAAAATATACATATAGTAAGAATAAAATTACCGTATAAATGAAATTCTATGTATTAAATCTAAACATTTAAATATCTAAAAATCTAAACACTCGTATTTTTTGTTTGCCAAAAAGTCAACAAGCACGCTTTCTTGGAAGTAAATTTTGATTCAAACTGGAAACTTTTCAGTTCACGTATGCATTTTGCAAATTATTATCATTTCCATAAACCGTGTTTGATACTCTTTAATTTGTTCTCTACGAAGAATTGTTAAATTATATACATCGAAAGATCGCTCCACATTTTATACAAATTATTAAAGTTTTTTCGTAAACAATTTAACTAAAAACTGTATAATTTACAGACCGCTTTTATATTAATAATTGGTATATAATTATGTGGAAAAAGGTGCGTATTTTAGCCACTTTACTAAATTGCTCTTTTATTTTCTGGTGCTTAATGGACAATTACCATTGTTGTTTTTTAAGCATCTAAATGGAGTGATTCTGTTACCATTTTAATGGAAACGTTCGGTTAAAAGAAAGTACAAATTATTTCTTAGCACATTTGTTGTAATCTTAGTTTTAAAGAAAAATGTAAAAATGTTTTATCAAGATCAATAGCAAAAATAGGCAACGTTCAAACTGAATTCACAGGTACATAATATATCAGCGTTTATCCAGTTTTAAATGACTAATACATTCAGAGTGACACAATCGAACATCTCCAGAGTAATTTGAATTTGCGACGAACTGGAAGCAGTCAAAGAAGACTTGGTGAAAGATTAATCATAACGATTAATCTCAGAACAAGTTTCATCTTAAGAACCTCACTGCAGCAAGAATTGTTGTTTCTATAAAAAATATGTGGTTTGGATTAACCAAGATACTTATACACAGACGGTTGGCGTAGAGTAATATTCGCCCCCAAAAGGCCACCAGTGATCCGCTGGTAACAAGGGATCATCGAGGACAGCGTCTCCTCTTTCATCGGGAACACCTAAATTGGGACAAGTAATATCAGAATACTGAGTCAAGGTTTTGTCTATATAGTGATGATTCCCTTATGAAAATTACGTCTCTGCAAAAGTTACGAGCTATGTAATTTTGTTTGGTGAATCTCTTATTTAAGAGGAGGGATGTTCTAGTGGTGCAAAATCATTAGCAAGAAGTAAACCCGATTGCACATCTGGAACGCTATGGGGCGATATATATACAAATTGCACTACCTTCTAGTAGACCTTCATGAGATGTCGAATCATGCTAGTAGAAATAAGTGAGCAAATCGTCAAAAAAAAAATTGGAGCTGAAGGAGATGTCGCTGGTCCCTAGTCCCTATTGATATTAAATTCACCCAAGGCATGAATTATCACCACTTCGTAAAAAGTAACAGTGCTAATTTATACACAATTTAACATACCAAAAAGTTATACTAAAAGGTTATCATATTCTAATTGTGAATTATTGATAATATATAAAAATCCATTTAAATATCTTTTAATAAATTACTTATTTAATTAGATTAAATATTGTCATTATGTCTCAGTCAGAATCTCCTTTTCTACGTTCATCAATATTATTGACTCTAAATTGTCTTGTTTGATAGTACTTAATTTTAATAATGTTTTTTCGCATTCAACTTGTAGACAAAGTTGGGTATAAATTTACATGGCATAAAAACAGTGCTGTATGTGTTACTACGTAGTTTTTGCAGGAATCAGATTTGAATTTAGATATAGATTCATTTTTTTCAAATTGAGTTTCCCCTTCTGAATCAGAATCTAAATTGCTGCGATCCACTGAACTCTTAAGAATCTTCCATTTGCTTACTAGATCCCGAAATTCATCGCAAAGTACGTGTATATTTATTTGTGCATAATGTGCTAGTAATTTTGCTAAATTATGGAAACAGTTCGGTGCCAATGGATTTGAGAAGTTTTTCGGATCAAGAATAGATATATGTCTTCATACAACTTCTTATGTCTTTTGAAACTGCTTTCCAGAGATAAAATTGTAGTGTTCGCATAATCAAATAATTTCAAATTACTTCGTAGGGCATTTGTTTGCAGTACTCCTCGTATATTTCTTATAAAACATTACTTGTGTAATGAACCGATAGAAATGAGTAAAAATGTACAAAACGAAGTAGATGTTACAGTTAAAAAAAGTCTGCTACAGCTCACTGCTTCCTAAACAATTCTGAGACACTTTCTATACAATTAGAATTAGACCCGAATGTACATATATCTATTTATTACGAATAAATGAATTTTGAAACGGCAGAATCCGTTCGCGATTCGCGATACATACCGGTATTAGCAACAAATAAATTCGTTGACCTCTTTGAAAAAACTCTTTCAAATACACATGAACCAAATTGTACTTGCAAGTTTTAGACTTTCACCTTACCTAATGAAACTAATTTGTTCTTTATAATTATTAATTTACGGTATAAAATCGGATTTCACAACGACAAAAGTAATTGTTATGAAACGTCAATATTTAAAACTCTTCTAAAACGAGGTTTAAATACAAACATTAATTTAATAACGTCGTTACCTGTATTATTACGAAATTATTATTATACATAAATATATAGGAGCTATTTATTTATTAATATTGACGTAGCACCTGAAATAGTCCTTATGGGATGAATATTAGAGAAACAGAAAAGTTCTGGTATATACGCTATCTAGTGTCAAAATTATAAACTAATAAATGCTATTATTTAACGAGCAGTAATGATATGGCTAGTGTAGCTTACTGGGAATTCAGTACTATTATTTTCCCACAACTGTTTCTTTGGGCATAAATTGGGTAAAAAATGGCCATTACAAGTTTGTAAATTGTCACCCCACCCCGTATATCTTTTTATGTAAAAATTATTTCAAGACATACACGAATGCATTAAAATAATTAAATATCGAGAATGGAATTTCCATGATAATGGTATTTTGTCCAATTTAACTCATCCATTATCTTTCGATGATTGAGAATGAGGTATTTTAAAATGTAAACACTTTATTTATGTTTGTAACACAAGAATCACCCGATTATCAATGTTTAACAATAAAAGTTGGATTTTTGGTTATATATTTGTTTCTTAAGTCCCTTTCATGTTCTTTTAGTCTTTGATTTAGATATCTTTTTGTGTGTCCAACTTAATTTAGGTCAGCCAGAAATTTTATAGATTAGATGATTTTCGTAGGGAATTTGTAAATCATTCTTATAAAATTGCCTTCAAACATTTTTTGAAAATTGAAATCGACCAACGAAAGATTAACAGCCGGTTGCAAGAACATTAGTTAAATAGAAAAACTGTCATATTCGTTTAACGTTGTTTAAAAAACAAATGAATAAATATCTCGGTCACCTTTTATTTATTTGTTTTTTAAATAACTGTCTAACCATCTACATTTAGAAAATAGTCAGCAAGTACTTATTTATTGCAAAAACTAATTTTAACTGTAGACAAATATCTCAACTATTTATCATATCCTCAGACATTTTATTATGGACAGAAAACATTTAATAATCTTCCGCTTTTCTCATTTTTTCAGCTTAAATTCTCTTTTGCATTGCTAATATGAGGTTTGTTTCTCCCCAAAAGGTTCCTCTCATAGCGACAAAGAGTTGGATCCGAATACTCCCGAAAAACTACCTAGGACGCCGAGCGAAAGGAAGCGGAAACGGAAAGCGGAAGATAGCGGTGGAGGAGTGGTGATTGGGTTGCCGGGTGCGAAGACGAACGTTAGGACCCAATCGGCGGAGAAGAAGATCAACGACTACTTGACCAAGCATCCGAGTAACAGTCACAGTCCCATCAGGATCGCCGGTACGAAAAGTCCGTCACCTCAACAGCCCTACGCAATGGTAAGTCATCACATCTTAAACATTAAACTTTATATATTAACTACGTATTTCTCGCTGTTCTTCTGTTAGTGTTTAACACTCCTAAAAGTTATTCTTCATCTTGGGCTTCCCAGCCTCCATAATAAACCTTCCGCGACAGTAAATCTCAAAAATCCTCTATTGGGTAAACCTGCGGCAAGTTTGGAGGATTTTCGTTTCTAGGAACAAAAGTTAATGGTGTTGTAGCGTTTTGGGTATTTATTGAGTAATGGCACGATGCCAAGTCTGGCCAAAACATATCATCAGCTTAATGTTCGTGAACAAACTGAAGCAATTTGGGAAGGCAGTTGTCAATATAACTTTTACTATTTAAAGCTTCACTCTTCTTACAAAATAGCGGGATATACCCCTGTTAGAAATTACGCATCAGAGAAGGATACTGGGGTCTATTCTGTAAAAATTCCTTTATATTTAACGGCCTTTAAAAATATTTTCTTCTTTAATTCGGTCACTATTTAAACGGATCTTTAAAATACATTAGAGGAGTATCTTAAAGAAATCTGTTTAAATAATGATAGAAGTAAATTAACGAATACGAACATATTTTTATAGGCCGCCAATATTTTTAAAGGCCGTTAAATATAAAGGAATTGTTACAGAATAGACCCCTTTGTCCGCAAATTTCGCCTTATGTTTGTACCTAACATTATCAGGGCATCCCTCTACGTTGTCCGTATAAAATCGATCGTTTCCTTTCATTTCAGAATTACTCAAAGTGAAATACTTTTCGTTATCTAAAATAATGATTTTTCCATCAGCAACGTCTCAGTTGAAGACAGCACCTTGGTATTTAAGAAGTTGCCCTCTTTCGATATCTAAAACCATTCCTCTTCATTTCCAACGATACTGTACTCTTAGAAGTGCCGTATTGACGAGCCAGTCTCCCCATTGATACCTCAACTATCTTTTCTCACCAACCTCTCTCTCCTCTATGCAGTAAATACTCGTGATCTTCCACTTTTTGGAATATTCAGACATGGTATTCCCTGCTTACAGTCTGTCATTGTTTGCTTTATCGTTCTGCTGCGTGAAATATTCTCATTATGGAATATTTAAAAAAAATTAATCTTTGTTGTATATACCTTTCCTTATTTCTAATTTTTACATCTCAAAACAAAAACTTCTCAACTGGCATTCAACAAAGTAAGCAATATTTTGTTTCCAAACGCAACTTGATTTATTTTATTTTTGTTAAAATTAAAGCCAATGAATCTTGTGGTAAAACTTTTAGGACATACGTTAATTCTGCGTTCGGCAATGAATTATAAAGAAACAACTCGAACGTTTTGAGTTTTTGAAAGGGCGGCATCAATCATCTGACCGGATTTGGACTTATTATAATTTATCAGAAAAACGCACACTTGCTCTTCAAAGTTAGATTGATTAATATCCAGTATGTTGTATCGCTTTGTTATTATAAGTTCCAACGCCTCTAAGTTCTAATGGTTCTTTTTTTAATCTGCTAGTCCTAGTGATTTCAGGAAGTGTGATGCTCTAATGTCTACCTCTTTCGGACCATATGTGGTCCGGTTTTTTCCTCACTTTTGGTGTCTAATGAATATTTGATTAAATACTTCTAACCTCTTAATTACCTGATTAATTATTTTGTGTATATTATTCCAATTTCGTTATTGCTTTTTCTATTCTTTCCAAATTTACTTCATTTGCTATACAACTGTAAACGTACAGCTGGTTGTAAGAAGTGTAATTAAAAGTTTTAACCCTGGTAAACTTTGACAGAGCTGGAGATTGTGATCTGTTTGAATTACATGACCTTCAAATCTTACAGTCTAAACATCTGTCAAAATGTATCGGAGATTCTAAATTTTAATGGAGGTTATTGCAACTGGCTGGAAGTTGAAGATGCTATGTATCGATGTGTACATACTTTTTCTTTGCCTCCTTTTTGACATCTAGCGATACTTCTCCACTCTTAAGAACCTAATTTCTTTTCTGTGATGGGTTCTATTAATTCCGGTTACTACATGGGTATCTATTCTTGAATCTAAGGGAGCGAAAAATGAGGATGAAATACAAATTCTGAACATTGAAGATAAGAAGCCTTTGAATTCAAGAATAGCTACATTGCAATGCTGCATTTTATATTGTATGGTATGCTGCTGCACATTCTACGCACCTTCCTCTAAGCATTAATCCATATGTTTATGTTACATGCCTCCCTCATGTCAAATTGGTGAAGGGGGTAGTGCACACCATATACAGCAGCACAATATTTGCCGATATGGCTGCTGGACTTTTCGATATATTGATTGATCTGGTTATGTGAACCAGATGTCACATTTGTTTAGGATGCTCCGAGGCATTTGGCACTATTTCAGCATTTTTCAAGTTTAATGTATATATCATATTTTTTCATTTATTAACATGATTCCTGTATTTTTCTGGAGCTAGATATATTTATTTTTTCTAGACACTACATATTAACGTGGGTGTGTATCGTTAGCCTCAATCTAGTTCGTCTGAGAACTCGGTATTTGTTTTTAACTTCCGACTTTTTCTATTTAGATGGTTCTGTCTTTAAAATAGCAATAAGTGTCGCTAGATAAATAAATATTTCCTCTTTTTTAACATTATTTGTATGTTTGGGTAACTAACTTTTTAGTTTTTCTTTACCATACTTTTAATAATATTTGATGAATCCTATTTTTCTACATCGTTAGATCCATTTTTAACTACTATAAGTTTTGTTCGTTTTTTCTTTGTTAACCATGTTATGCTTTTGCATTTATCTCCATAATCTTAATGTTGCTCTCAGCTATTACCTCTCCTCTTTATTGTTTTTCTTATATTTATCCATTAATTATTATGCATTCTAATTGTTCAGTTTTCTCTTCTTCTATGTCATCCTTGGCGGTAGACATAAGGAAAAAAATATTAAAAACAAACTTACATGTTTGAAGTTATATTCCTTTGTAGCATTGATGTTTCTATAAAGTATTAATTTGGAAAACAAGAAATTTCCGTTAAAATCTCCCCTAAAAAAGTAAACTATAAAAACCATTGCTATAAGCAGCTAGTGTTTAGATTTGATAATTGACTACAGCTCTCTATTTTTCAGTTACCTCCTTCACAACAACCAGTAGTAGTAGGGGGGATGGCGTCCCCGAATGTTTGTAATACTGTTCCTTTTGAATTTTATAATAAGCAACCGTTGAGGGTAACCCCACCGGCTATGTGTAGCAAATTAATACAGGTTAGTATTTTTCTGGTTATTAATATTGTTGAATTAATTGGCTCTTAACCTACATAGGTCATTGCATTATAAGTTTTACAGTACGTACTATGAATATTTTCAAAGCAAAACCTTAATGGTATCAATCAAAAGTACACCTCAGTATATCAAGAAGTTTGTAAATGATGTATACATTTCATTACTCTCATCTGAAATTTCTAAGTATGTTCTTTGGCCTGGAAAATCTGAAGATATCTGAGTCTCCATTGTACTTCAGGACAATAAATAAACTATATTATCTTTTGTGAAATACTTCAACATCAACTAAGAATTAATGCGCTTATATATACTGAATAAATCTCTCAAGATGGGGTTAAAAATCGTCAGGTTAAGACGGTTAATAACACAAAGGAGGAGGAACTCTTTAATTCACATCTGTCAAAAAGATATTAGTCTTCTAAACTGGAAAATGTGCTCTAATAGCAAATGGAAGATCCACAATTATGTTGTGTTATTGTCACGTAATCTGAGGTGGTCTATCAATCACCTGTTTTTCTATTTTTTTCAAAAACTACGAATACATTTAGTCAAGTATTTATAGAAATGTACTGGAATAACAAACAGTGATGCATGAATTGACATTACAAAATTATGGAGTGATCCACAAAAAATGTTTCTAAAGTGGGCGAGAGCATATGATTCTTCTTTTTTGAATATCATTTAAGTTTAGATTTAATTCAGAGCAGTGCGTAGTTATCACAGACATGACTGGTATCTCTGTCTTTGTCAGTCATGTTCTACTTTAGCAACTTTTTTTATAATCACTCTATATTCTAAGATTTATTGCTTTATTGAAAAACTGCAACATTGAGAAATACAGAAGAAGATAAATATACTGTTTTCTATAATTGAGTCATTTTTGAAGGATTAAATAAATTATAAATATTTCAAATCTGTATAATAATAATTATTTCAAAACCACTTTCAAATCATTGTCGCATACTGTGTTGTAAAACAATATTTTAATTTAGTTAAATCTACAATGCTACCGTTCATAAGGACTATTTTTGGATTTTTCTACGCTATAGAGTTTGCATCTCTCAACAGATTGTATATTCTTTTGTACACAGTGTAGCCACTTAAAATGGAACCACCTTCAATATTTTTGTTTATAGTTTGACTTCTAGTATAAAGTGTCTTAATTTTTGTAGATATTATTAGCACTTTTTTAGAATTTGTCTAAATTCTTACCAAAATATACAATTTTTTCAGTTATAACGTTGTTGCTAATAGAACATTTTAAATAAAATATGAGTAAAAATCTTAGGAAGCTTTTGAATCAATATTTAAACAAAAATGCCAATAGGATTATTTTTAGTCTTGACAAACATAGATTTTTACTTTTGATTAAAAAAAAAATAGAGGATTCAAATGGATTACACAGTAAATGATCTGCCCTGTATGATGTAAATAGAGGTTAACCAGGATTAAAAAAAAAAGAAAAAATTGTAGAAAATTTTACTTACCATCTTTAACGTGTTTAAAAATGTAGTATTAAATGGGTCATTCTTGTGAGAAATAATTATTTATGCAGGCTACATTGTAATTAAGTCGTTAATATTTCCGCTGTCAATGAATATCTAATGCAGATCATTTTTATTTTTTAACGTCATTAGACGATTATAGCTCTGTGGGTAGTATTTAGAATGGAACAATATTTATCCACTTTCTTATTTATTTGTTTTATTTACTAACATATATTTATGTGTTTGCAGACTGAATTAACATGTCATAGGATACAAGAGTTCGAAACGCAAGCGTCGTCGGACTTAGAAATCGCAAATACTAAAGTAGATGAATTAAAACGTGCTAACGAAGAACTGAGGCACCAAATATCGACGCAACAAAAATCTATAGACCAACACAAGCAGCAAGTGAATAAGTGTATAGAGGTTGTCAAAAAACTGCTCAAAGAGAAAAGTTCGATAGAGAAAAAGGAAGCGAGACAGAAGTGTATGCAAAATAGGTTAAGGTTAGGACAGTTTGTGACGCAAAGGGTGGGCGCGACTTTTCAGGAAAATTGGACTGATGGACATGCGTTTCAGGAGTTAGCGAGGTAAGTTGAAAATAAAATAATTTCACGAACAATGACACCATCAAATTTACAATCAATTTAAAGATATAACTAAAGAAACTGTTTTCTCCAGAAATTAAATATTTACCATGATTAGTAAACCGTTTTTAATAGATCATACACTCGGTGCAATAACGTCATTAATACAACCGATTTTTGTTACCAACTACGATTAAATCTGCTTCTGCACTCGGTGCGTCAATGTCGTAAATGTAACATATATAATAAATGAACCAATATTAAATCATTTTACTTTTAAAATCTTTCATTTTCAAAACTTTCAAATGACTTCCCTGTAAAAAATTGATTTTTGCACTTATGACGTTGTTGCACCGGATGTGCAATACGTAATTTATTCATAGATTATTAAATTAATCGCATCACACAAGCAAAGTATTGTATTGTAGTATTCTTCCATAACTCTACTTAATAGGTTACTTAAAAGTTATACTTCCCCTTATTTTTGTTATTAAATAAGAATTATTTTTTGTTTGTTTGAAAGCTCGAAACAACAATGGCTTACTTCTGATTTTTCTGGAAATATCAGTAAATCACATTATTTTTTATCAGATAAGAATGGGGAATAAGTTTGGGTCAGTCTCAATGGTAACTCAGAAGTTTACAAAAACTTTTTAAAGGTGGTACAATCCAATTTCAATTATAAAAGTGAGTTAAGGTGCACAAGCACTTGGTTCTGACATACAGAATATTAGAAATCGCTAAATTGGGTCGGTGTTAGCTTTACAAGAAGTACCTCTCTAAACCGCATTGGCAAAAACATATTTTACCTTCTTTCTTTTGTCTAATAGTTTCCAGATTAATGTTTTTTTGTGAGCCTCCAGTTTGACATTCTCTTAACATGGTATAACCAGATAAGTTGTTTTATTTCTTTGTTCTCTACTATAGTTTTCAGTTAGTGACAGCAGCTCGATGACTCTTTTACTTGACACATTGTTTCTTAATATTTTACACAATCTTAATCATTAAATCTAGATGACAATTATTCTATTTATTTAATTGTTCATCATTCAGTACTGTATTGTAATGATGCATATTTTTCCATCTATATTCTACAATAACTTATCTTACCTATCCACCTCTACTTAAATCAACATCTACCTTTATCACTGAATGAAAAAAAATTAGATGGGAAAATGTAGTATTTCTTATGATTAGTATGTTATATTGAGAATGGGGTGTCAATTCACTGCGACCTAAAAGTTCTATTGTATCCATTTCTGTCGCTAATGCAGCAAGAAAATGTTTCGATGCATATAACGGCCCTTCTAATCCTATCTTTTCAAAGAAGTGTAGGATTTGGAGTGGCTTTCAAGTTAGGTAAATCACTCTCTTCTATTTGATATGCTGCTAAGTATAGTGCCTTTGGATTTTGGAGTGCTACACATTCAGTCAGAATGTGAATGGGGGTTTGTGCTCCTCATCACAAAATCTGCACTCACTATCTTCTACTACTATCAATTTACTGAGGTGCCCTTTGAGTCAGCAATGCCCAGTAACGATCCTTGTTACAATGTTTAGCCTGTTCTTGCATAGGTGGATTTTTTATTGTTTCTTATTAATGGAATTTTACTCTTTGAAAACATCCTGTTTCCATAATATTATTATAGCAAGCTACAAAATAGAATATGTTCGATTGATACCACATCGTTTGGCATTCTGGAATACACCTTTTCCGTTATTCGATCATTTCAAATTACTTATGTATGAAAAAATGCGGGTCTTTATCTATTATCTATTATCGCCCTATCTGCAACTGTTGGGTTGGCTACAATTGCTTTTATTAACTGTCCTTGAGTTTTGGCGGGTGTATTTATTATAACACATCTCCATAAAAAAAAACCAAATAAAATAATAAACACACAAACAAAATATATAGGAAACGACAAAAACTAATTTTGGTGATTTTAAGGGAAAGTAGGATTTGTGCATGAGTAATCGAGACCATCGGCCCAAATAATCTTGGATCACATAACATCTCTATAAAGGAATTGTGTGTTTTTATTGTATTAAAGTTAATTCACAACTACTACCTATATTTTAATTTTTATATTTATTTTTATTCTTTTCTTTTCTATGAGGGCTTTTAGTGAAACTTTTGTAATATAAATCTTATTTTTTATCCATGTATTTAAACCTTTTTAATTTGTTTAGGGGTAAGGGTAGCCATAAGGCCAGAAAGGTCCGTTATTTCTCACAAAGTCAATTTATTAGCGACCTTGTTTTGAAGTGATTAATTACTTCATCATCAGGCCTAAATGGAATAAATTATGTGATAAGTATTATTAAATCTGAGTGCCAAAATTCGAATTATTAACTAAATATTTTTAACATTCATTGTATTATGTCGACTATAGTTTCGCGCCCTTAATAATCTAGTAGCCAAGCTTTTGTACTGTAATAGTAAATCACTGAACTGTCAAATATAACAATAATATAATCATATTTTTTGTAGTTTTCAAAGAGTTAAATACATGAAATATAATTATTTTGATGCTCAATATAATATGTCACCTCATATTATAAAACTATTTTTATTATCCATAAATCATTTTTTGAGACATTTCACAAATCAAATTTTATTAAAAGTATATTTATCTACTTTTTAAGGGGAACACTTTAAAATTTAAGTTGAATAGGTTTTACAACGGTTATATAAATAAAAACATTTTAAATCAAAAATTACTAGCATAGAAATCTGAAAAATCCATTTTTTTTTCTAGACTGTCAATATTTAATTTCTTCAGAATTAACAGTTTCTTAGGAAGAAACATGTTTTGAGAAAAGCGAATTTGAAATTTCAACCAATTGTATGACTGTTTGTTGGTCAATGCAGTTAACAAGTTTTGGCAGTCTATCGATAATATTGTATTCATTGAAATGAAATGATGATACACCCTGATCCAGAAATACTATGATGGTCAAATGTGTTTCAAGACGGGACTGAATTCCTTTTTAACCACATTTTGACCGCCTTCTCTTCCTTTGTGAACATCACCTCAATGAACGTATTCTTTATTTTGTTACAGGCGGCAGGAAGAAATAACGGCGGAGAGAGAAGAAATAGATAGGCAGAAGAAATTACTGGTAAAGAAAAGGCCTTCGAATAACGAGAGTGGTCGGAAACGGAACAATTCGAATGCGTTACACAACGGTACGGATTCAGGTTTTTTGAAACCGGACGCGGTTCCCGGGTCGTTGACGTTACAGGAGTATTACGAGGCGGACGAAATTTTGAAGTTGCGGCAAAATGCGCTCAAGAAAGAAGACGCCGATCTCCAGCTCGAAATGGAGAAATTGGAAAGGGAGAGGAACCTACACATCAGAGAACTGAAACGTATCCACAACGAGGACCAGAGTAGGTTTAATAATCATCCGGTGCTCAATGACAGGTAAATAAATCTTATTTCTGTAACAATTTTATGTTCCCATTGTTATCGCTAAGAATATCTGTATAGTACTTAGATTTTTACCTTTTTGGGTGTTAATCCATATACAAAACTGTTTTACCTAGTATAATTGTTTTAGAAATGAGAAAAACATTTTAATCTCATACTTAAATAAAAATTCAGGGATTTTGTCACCTATATGTTCAACCCTGATTACAAAAATTTGAGAAGGGTAGGACCACGTTGCAAGTACTTCTAGGGCTATATGACCCTATGGACATTGAATTGCTCAATACTAAGTCCATATACAATGAGATGTAGGACTTTTTGGGAGGAAATTGAGCAATTTAAAGTAAAATGACAAAGGCAGTAAAGTAATAATTAACAAATAATATAATACAAAGAGGAAAATAAACATTTAGTTTTCGTTAAGAAAGTAATCAAGTCGATTTTTATACACATTTACTGACTGGGCACAATGAACACTCGGATATACTAATTCAAATAGAAAACACTCGATTACAAAACAATTTGAATGTATTTTGAATGTTTTTGTCGCTTTGCTCATGTCTACATAAAAGCTCATTCGTGTTACATGATAGCAGATTAGAATGGTTGCATAAAAAAGTACCATGGAGAATTCTGTATGTCACAGTTAAATCTCATCTTAATCTTCTGTGGCTGAATTGACACATTCTCCTTATTATGATGGTCTGATTGTATGTAGAATATTTCTACTGCATTTATTCCACTATTATCTCTATTTGATAAACACATATTAGTATAGAATTTAATACTTTTTTATGACTTTTTTGTTTCTTTGGTGATTTTCCCTTATACTAATGAATATTGCAATTTCCCATTTCGTCATTTATTTCCTGTTCCTTTTTGGTTCCAAATAGTTGAATTCGTTTTTATATTCTGCAAATTATACTTCCAAAGAAATATTGTGTGTATATCATTTTGTTGACATTGACATATTAGTTCGCTATTATAGTTAGTCGTTTAATGTTTTCAAATAATATGGAGTGATCCACAAAAAAAGTAGGCTGTGGAAAAAATCACGAATGTCTTAAGAGTACAATTCTTCTTCATTATACTATCAGTTTCGATATAATTCAGACTCGTATCTCTTTATCAGTCATGGTCTACTTTAGAAATATGTTTTGTGGATCACTCTTTGTTCACTAGCTTTTGTTCAATTAGGACATTTGTTATATTTTCATAAAACCATGAGAATCTACAGACAATCATTCCAAGCGTTATAAATCAACTACTATTGGATTGCCAATACTTTCTTCAATTCCCTGGTAACAAAACAAGATCACTTTTAAATAATGCAATACTTTGAACTCGGAAGGCTTCTGGTAGCTCAACCTATGTAGAGAGTGATTAGCGAAAAGGTTTCTAAAGTAAGCCTTGGAACAATTCACGCATATCAGAGCTTACAATTATTCTTGCTTTTAAGTGCCAATTTAGGGTGTTAATTTGCAATTATTTAATGTCACTCTATTGGTTTGCACATAGCCTAAATATTTGTTTCATGTTCTACTACCTTTTGGTGGCATTATCAGTTATTTTAAAACAGAATGTCGATGTTATTAACTTCTGTTTAATATAGTTCCATTGAAAAGTAAGATGAATTCAAAACATTTTCCAACTCAGAAAACACTCCTAAACATCCAGCTAGCTTTGAAGTTTATAATTTAGAGTTATCACAAGTCTCATGATATATCTGATTTTTTTATTTTCTAACCAAGCAAATGGTACATGACATTTTAGTTTTGTTATTCAAATAACTTAAGTCTATTGGATCAATATGTAATAAACCTAGATGATTAATATTTTGAATTTTCTTTAGGTATCTCTTGCTGATGCTGCTGGGTAAAGGGGGTTTCAGCGAGGTGCACAAGGCGTTTGATCTCAAAGAACAGAGGTACGTTGCCTGCAAAGTGCACCAGCTAAATAAGGACTGGAAAGAAGACAAGAAAGCGAACTATATTAAGTGAGTGGTAACGTTTTTTATTTCTTATTTATTGTAGAAAAAATTATAAAAAATATGTATTTTCTCTTTTTTTATGAAAAAATATGAAATAATTTCATAATGATTAAACTCTGATAACATAAAAAATATAAATTCAAGAAACGTAAAAAGGTATTTTAAGAATATTAACTTTATTTGGTTTATTAATTAATTTTTAGCTTCAAGCCATGAATACTGTTCTGTTAAATTGATAATTATCATCTTTCCATCATCTGTTTGAATGAAAAATTTGAAAGTGATTCTAATATAACGTAATAATGTGTGAAACATTCTAACTATCTATTAATTGAAATAAATTAACAATAAGTTGCTTTTTTTCTGCGATTTTTCCAATGTTTGGCCAAGATTCATATGATTTTAATTTATTTAAATATTTCATTATTTAAACAGTATTTTCATGTGTTAAAATGCACTATTTTTGCGTTTATGATAAATACATTTTTTATTGAAATAATTATAATTGAATTTTTATTAATCTGGATTTTTAACTTTTTTTAACCTTCAATAAGTTAAAAATCAGTTAACTCTTATATATTTTCTTACTATATTAAAATATAAATTTGTGTTTTAGGCATGCGTTGAGGGAGTACAACATACACAAGGCGTTAGATCATCCGAGGGTAGTGAAATTGTATGATGTATTTGAAATAGACGCAAATTCTTTCTGTACTGTACTAGAATACTGTGATGGACATGATCTTGACTTTTACCTAAAGCAGGTAAGGCTAAAATTAATCAGTAATAAGGTTGCATTTTTTTTTTAAACATACTCCAACTAGTGTTATTGATTTGTAGTGTTCTGTGGATACCATCTTTCTTACATAATTATTATAGTTTTCTATTATTATACTTGTACTATATCCAAGTTAAAGAAAAGTAACATGTAAACTGTGATAGTAAACAGGGTCGCATTAAGAGTGTCATAAAAAGATTTTAAATATAAAGTATCATTGTGCAGACATAAATTTTCTCTACAACATATTTACAGCAGCTTTCTGAAGTTACTTGGTAACAACACAACATTGGCTTTTTTAAGATAAACCGGGAAATATTTAAATGTATTTTTTAATTCTAAACAACATTTTTCGATTTAGTCAAAAGTGAAGATAGTTTATTTTTACATCAAATTTATATTTTGTGACATACCCCGTTTATGACTGATAACTATTGATGTTTCGTGATTTTATTGAGTGTTTTAGATGATGCAGAACTTTTTATAAATTATTTTTTTTTTTTTTTTTTTTCGTAAAACTAACCAAAAACAAATGTTTATTTGAATAATACACCAACTCTCACAATGTTGGCTACTTTTCTGTCAATGTAAACATTAAACTTATTTCCTAATTGTTTACCTATACATGAAAATCCTATTCGAAACGAACGAAACATCAAACAGTAACAGAAAACTATAATGTTGCACACAAAATAAATCTTTAATCCACAACTGGTACAAATTCAGACTGCTTTCCTCAACTAATCCAGGAAGCTTTTGGCCTGGGGTTTGATTCCGTTCTGTCAGGTAACTCAATCTCGATACGATCCATAATTCGATTGAATTATTTGAAGCGGTTCTATAATTCGATCTGTCTTGACTTCGAAAATGTTTAGGAATTTAACAAATTAATGAAATATTCGAACTACTCTGACTTTTAATCATCAAACAATAAAAAATAAATCTCATTTATTTAGCCTTTAAGTGAAATATATATTTGTGTTTAATGATTTGGGAGCTTCAGGGGTTCACTTGTAATGAGGCAAATTAGAGAGAGAGATTATTATTTTGAAATATAAATATTTTTCGCTGAAGAAATGAGCTAAGCACGATCTTTTGGAACTCCTGAAAAATTATTTTCGAAGACTTTTTCTGCATCACACAGTGAACAGTTTCTTTACATTATATAGTATATAGTTGCTAAAACATACTTATTGCTAAGTATATATTTTCATGGTGGAATATTAATTTTTCCAGCATAAAACGATACCGGAACGGGAGGCGAGGTCGATCATAATGCAGGTCGTGTCGGCCCTGAAGTACCTGAACGAGATCAAGCCACCCGTCATCCATTACGATCTGAAGCCTGGCAACATTTTGTTGACGGAAGGTAACGTTTGTGGTGAGATCAAGATTACTGATTTCGGTCTCAGCAAAGTGATGGATGAAGAAAATTACAACCCCGATCACGGTATGGACTTGACGTCGCAAGGCGCCGGGACATACTGGTAAGTACATTGTTTCTTCTTTTTAAAACGTTAGTTTGTTACTTATATCGTCGGCTTAATATGAAAAGTGCGTAAGTCCAAATTTTTAGATTTTGTGATTTTGCCTGAATCTGGTTCACCGCTGCTAAAGCTACAGAAATATATTCTTAGTTTACGAAAATTGTCACTAGATTTTACTAAAAACACTATATAAAGCTTGTAATAATAACATAAAAATAAGTACAAGTGACTCAAAGTTATATTAAATCGATTATATTTCAACAAATATTGATCTGTAAACCATGTTTAAATTTTGAATGGAGTTGTGCAATTTTCATAACAATGTAATTTTTATTTAACTATAAATTTTATATAAGCCGTAAATTCGTTTTTTGTCTCTCCTGTAAAATTGTTTATTTTGGACTTATGCAATTTTCATATTAAGCCGACGATATAGTTTTCCCTGTTAACACTCATTTTCTTACTAAATTAACAGGAAATATATTTTTTTTAACCACATCTGTCCTAACCTATTCTTTGTTATTCCTCTTACATTTAAAAAATTATTAAAACGGTACTAGATATATTTAGGTGGCCAAAAATATGTTAAAATTTGCACTGGATTCTAAGAACTAGGAACTTTGTCTCTGTATTAATTAAAAACCAAAATTATAATAGATCATATCTAATCTAAAAGTAATAAAGTTATCTAATCATGTATATTGAAGGAATATAGTATTTTCAGCAAAAAGTCACGCCCCTAAATACTTTTGATTTTCATCCTGTATCATCTAGATCAACAAAGAAAAACATAAAAATGTGACAAAACATTTATAAATAACATCTGAAAGACAGTAGTACTGCCATCATAGATGAAAATTTGCGATATGAAACGTTTTTCTTTTCAATTGCTTTTTAGACTTTTTAGATATGTATTGAATCCTTTTCTTTATATAAAGAAATCCTTTTTCAATAAATTCTTCCAAAAAATTTTTTTTTTACCTCACAGGCCTAATGCCTCTTGTTTATGATTTATTAGCAGTGAAATTTTAGCTACTTATCGCCCGTTCACTTAAACGCTGAAAGAAGCATTCTTTTACATAATTTTTCTTAACACTTTATGCCGATGAAATTATTACATAAACACCCAGTTTTCATTAAGCTTTTATTTATTAAAACATAAAATTAATTAAAAAAAAATTGATAGAAAAAATAAGGTCATGAATTCACTTGTTTGTCAGATTCTGCAAGCAGCAATTATTGTAATGTATGGTAAATTCTAAAGTGGTAAAATTTATATGGTTTATTTACAGTTTGATTTGTAAAAATGTTAATTATGAAAGGATTTGTTTAATATATCAGTTTAATACATCTTACGTCACTTTACTTCCTGTTCCTAAAATTAGTTTTTTCTGTTTCCATGTACAAGGTTTCTTTCAATTCTGGTCGCCGTGGTTTCTTGGCACCTTCCTACCTTTTTATTTTCTCACCCATACCATTTTAATTGTTTATTTTATGTCTCGTCTATTATTATGTCTTCAATTCCTAATCATGTTTTTATAATTTCAGTTGCAACTTCTTATATTTTCTTAAAATTCTAAAAGATCTTCATATTTCATCCAGGTTTACAGCTTCTATTTTTTCTTATATCTTTCTGAGATAACCTGATTTACAAAAATTTTAAATTTAATCACATGTAAATTCTTAAAGATAGAAACGTCATTGCATTATAAAATTGGGCGATATATTACAAACTTTTATTTAATTGTTTAAATATAAACAACAAAGGAAAATGAGAAAAAACTCAAAGTCCATTGTAACAGAGCCGAAATTATCTATTTCTTGCTGATGATTCCTAATAAGGACGAAACCGGTCCAAGAATGTTTTACTTAGCTAAATCAAAGTTAAAATGTTAAAAATGATTTTCTCTCCTCTTTTTATATTTTGATATAATGCAATGCCTTTTGCGGTCTTAGCCACAGGAGTGGTTGTTTTCAGAAAGGAAATGGTCGTCTGTTGTTTCTGTAACATGGAATTTGAGGTCTTCACTTTTTCTGACAGCCCCATGATATGGAGATGCTTCCGTATTTGGCAATGTCCTGTCATAAGTCATAAAATCACATCCATTTAACAAACTCAAGAATCGTTACCTGAATTCCATTTGTCGAACATTGTTATATATGTAATAAATCAAATTCTGTTTTTGATATGAGTAGATGAATAATTAAATATTTGACATTCTTATTATCTCAGTTACACAAAAAGTTTCACTGAATCTAAAACAGTTCAGCATAATCATTTTCCTTTCTAAACCGTATCTGAAATACCATCTCCTAAATTTTTTAATTTATTTTATATTATATTTCCAGTATTTTAAACTTGCTCTTCTTTTTTAAAGAACCTTGTTTATGTCTCATTCAAATTGTTAATGGTTCCATTCCCGTTGAGATGAGTTTTATTTCATTCGTTAGAAAGGGAGAACTATCCATTGCAGTTTCCATGATTCTTAGATTTCGAAACTTTACATTCACAAAAAATTGTAAAATAGGACATTAATTTAATTTAGGTAGAAACATTTTTCGTGGATCATGTATTACAATTAAAACAAAAAAAAAATAATAATTTTCGTATTTTTTTCTTTCATTTTTAGTCCTAAATCCTAGTACAAACTGTACGTCACTTCTTTTTTAAATGTAATCACTTGTCTGTAACACAAAGTTAATGTAATCCGTACATTAATACTAATTGTTTTTTGTTATTGCAGGTATCTTCCACCAGAGTGTTTCGTAGTAGGTAAGAATCCCCCGAAAATTTCATCGAAAGTCGACGTATGGAGCGTAGGTGTGATATTTTATCAGTGCCTGTATGGCAAAAAGCCGTTCGGGCACAATCAGTCGCAAGCGACCATTTTAGAAGAAAATACCATTTTAAAGGCGACTGATGTACAGTTTGCCAACAAACCGGCTGTTACAAATGAAGCAAAGGTAAGAAACATTTTTATTTACTCTTTAACTGTGGCTGTTTATCATTGCTAGTGTAAGAATGGTCACTGTGATAGTGTTAGATGCAACTTTATGTATTTTTCGTTTCAAATAAACAGCTTTGTATACACAGTTAGGTGTTCTAGATTAAATTCCCCAAGTCAACGCTCAACACCCAAACAATAAATTTAAATATAATTGACTCCAGTTTTTATCTTTATTCTCTTCTCGTAGTAAAAAAGTTAAGCATTAACAGTAATTAGAGATCGACTTTTATCAGTAAATGAAAATATGTTTTACGTTTTGGACATCGAGACTCTTTCCTTGCTACCTTAGTGAAAGAAGGAGTCACAATAGATATTTTAGGTCACATTGTATTAACACCCTATACATAACATTATAACTTTTCCTAGATGGTATTTAAAATGTGAATATATAAGAGTATACATATTGAGCATTTAGTATGAGCATAGTTAAAATCATTCATCTGTCAGTTTATAAATAAAAAACGTCCATTTTTAATTTGTTAAAATCCTAGTAATAAGCACTTTTCATTTTAATAGGACTGAAACCACAGCTGAAACCATGACTTCAAAATACTGAAAGCACTTAAATTTATAAGTTTACAACTACTGACTTACTTAATAGACATAAAGACAATAGGTTTTTTCCAACAACGATCGAAACCAGTCATTGGCACCAGGATTCTGTGCAGTATATAATTTGGGGTCCTAATAATCTACTGCACAGAATCCTGGTGGCAATGACTGGTTTCTGATTGTTGTTGAAACAAACCTAATAGAGGAATTTTTCCAGAGGCATTTAAACTAGCAGTTACAATTATTCCTCTACATAAAAAAGGAGAAATATCAAACATAGATAACTATCGACAAATTTCATTGTTAGCAGAATTATCAAAAAATACTTGAGATATGTGTATATCGTCGGTCTAAAGCACACTTATTGTATATCCAAAAACGCATTTTTGGACAATCGCAAATTTAAACTTCTAGAAAATGTAATTAAATGCCTTAATTCTCAGTTTTAATTTGAATTTATTGTAGTTTGGTGGATGTTGGAGCCATGTTGGAGTTACAATGTTTGTGCCCAATGAAGAAGACTAAAATGCGATTTTATTGGTACCAAGATCGTTATAACATTAAATTTGGAGTTACAATGTGTGCTTTAGATCGACGATATAATACAGAGTTCGATCTGTCAAAGGTATTTGACACCCTCAAGAAAGAAATAATTTTAAAGAAGCTAACTACATTGGTCATTCGTGGCAAAATGCTAGACTGAATAGAGTCCTACTTAGAAAACCGTAAATTATTAGTTTCTCTTAAGGTTCCTCAGGGTTAAAATTTGTAACCATTAACATTCTTGCTTTTTGTAAATGGCTTACCCGCACATATAGTAGGGGTAAGATTACAATGTTGGCAAATGATTATTTATTAAAAGTCACAGTCAGGACTCCGAATGAGATTTAAGAGAATGCCTTGTCTATAGTGAGATGGAACAATGTTGCCACAGAAACTCTCTAATGCTTAATAAAGATAAAACAGTACCTTAAATTTTCATATATAAATAAATATTTACCAGATCAATAAGAAAAATACTTCCATTTAAATTTGAAACTCAAAACAAACATGGATTTTTGGATGCCTGAACCAAATCATTAAATGAAGGGTGTCTAGTAGATGTAATTTACTGGGACTTTAAAAAAGCAATTCGACACTGTATCCATCTAAAGGGATTGAGAACCTCCTCATTAAAAGAAACTTTCAGGTTAGAGTAAATGGAAGTCATTCAAGCAGCCGCCCCTTGATTAGTGGAGTTCCCCAAGGATCGGTCATCAAACCCCTACTCTTTATAATATACTTCTCAGATCAAAATATGATGTGTACAAATAGTCACTTCACAGATGACACAAAATTTTCTGTGACCCATCTATTCAACACGGACAGCTCATTGAGGATCTAGATGCTTTTGAAAGATGAACCAACAACTGGTTGATACTCGTTAACTGCCCAGAAATGCTATGTAGGTTCAACTAACCCCTTCCTTGAATACAGTCTCCACAATAATCATCTAGCAACTACAGATAAACAGATAGGAGTCACCATTCCAGCAGACCTTAAATGGGCAGCACAGGTTGAAAATGTAGTAAAGCAAGCAAATATTTAATAAGGTGGTCATTTATTCATATCACTGACAAGATATTTCCGATGATGTATAAATCCTACATCAGATCGGTTTTCGAGCATGCAGTAGTAGCTTGGTCCACATATTTCATCAAGAGTATTGATCTTCTGCAGAGAGTTCAGTGACATGCTACTAAACTGCCCTACACTCTCCGTAGCAAACCATATGAGGATAGAATCCATGAAGTGAACATAACTACCCTTAAAGAGTGACGTCTTAAAGGGTACCTCATAGAAACCCACAAAATCCTGCATGGGTACTACTCAGTAGAGCTTGGGAGTGTTTTCATAAGAAACGGGAACAATTATTTACGTGGGCGTAACTTAAAATTGCAAACTGAGAGACCAGAAACTTTGCCAAATAAATTTTCTGACAAACGGAGCTCACAGGGGAAGTCGTAATCCCAGACACCAAAATACGCTGAGCCTGTGATAATCTCTTTCGATGTGATATATTGTGATAAAAAAACAAATTCTATAATATTTATTATATATTTATTTAATTTTACTGTGAATGTATAAGCAGCTAATTGGCATTGCTGCCTGCTGCATTAACTATAATAAAGATTCAAAAAAACTGGCTGGACTCAAATATAAGCTTGGAACATCTTATAGGATACATATTGGACAACTGAATAAAACTTTTTATGCTATATTTCAGATGCTATTCTCATTTATAATACAATGTCTTGTCATGGGGAAAGGTCACAGAGAATAATATATGGTGTTTGTTGCCCAAAAATAGAACTTTGTAAGTTGAAAAAGTATTTTTAAAATGATATCAATTAAAATTTCCTTATATATAATATACATTTTCAAATTTATTAAACAATCCCAATATCATTCCCATCATACAAGGAATAACAACGGAAGACAATGACAATGACTTTCAGAAAGAAGGTCTCCTTTGTATAACTATTACTGTCTATAATGCTTTACCTGAAGAACTAAAGCTACCAGCAACATACAGATATTTTAAAAACAAAGTTAAAATATACCTAAAAAAAGCTCTTTCTACTCTGTTATGGAATTTCTCAATAAAGCTGTGTAATACAGATCTGCAAAAGTACATTATTATTGTTTAAAAGCACAAAATGTACTAAATATTTGATTATAATAAAATGGTTTATTGTTTTTTACAGAGCTTCATTCGTAGCTGTCTGGCGTACAGAAAGGAGGATCGAATCGATGTCCTTTCGCTGGCGAGACATGAATACCTCCAACCACCGATGCCTAAACATTCGAGATTAACATCGAACCAACAGCAGCAGCAACAGCAACAACAGCAGCAGCAACAACAATCGGCATCGTTTTCGACGGGTATTTTTGGCGCCATGAACGCATCTTCGTCCTCCTAGTGCAGTGCTGTGTTTAATTCTAAGTAAATAACTAGTCGGTCTCCCTTCAGAGGAAAAGTCAATACAAATAATGGGTTCGTTGGTAATGGGTGCTTGTCCGAATCAAAATTGTGGCAAAAATGAGTACAAAGCTTAGGTAAACCCTAATTGCCTGCCATATTAGGGCAAGAATGGCCAACATTTAAAATTTCCTATAATAGCAGTAAACGTCACAATATCGTATTTAAAAGTGTTAATCTAGTCACAAAACTAGCTAACTTTTTTTATCAAACTAAATAGTCATTAATGTCTGTTAATTTGAAAACACTAAAACAAGAAAAATGTCAGTTTAACAGTTTTATTCATTGACATCTGCTAGTTTGTTTATTGACTTTTGACAGCAGTGTTAAAACAGTCAACTATGACTTTTAATGTTTAAAGTTACTATAGACGATGCATTTGTAAATTTATAAAAAAAATGTAAACTTCAAAATTTTTAAATACTTTCGACGTTATTTGCTGTTTGTGGTGTTGTCAAAATAAATATTGAAATGGTATTTTTTTTTTTCAATATTCGTTTTTTGAGGAAAATCACTACTATCCAAACTTAATATTTATTTTATCCAACTTCTGGTACAGATTACACCCATTACCATTGGAATTTCAAAATCTCTCTAAGGGATCTGACTAAATCGAGAAGAATAAGGAACATTACATTATCGGTTATGTTTGTTCTTCTACCAAGGGACGTTTTTTAAAATGGCCTTGTTTCTTTTTAAAAATTAGACTGATTTTTTTTGTTGCTTGAGTGAGGACGTTGTGAAGATAGTATTTAAATGACACGTTATAGTGCGAATTAAAAAAGTTTTAATCTCTTCTCTTCAATGCTTTAATGGCTTCCCCGTTCTGTCAAATGGTTGGCATAAAATATTGAAATTAAAGCAAAATAATATAAGTAGATTGTTTTTTTTTTATAATTCGAGACGATTTTGTGCATTTTTAATTTAGGAAATTAGCATTTTGAAGAAATTCAAATAAAAAATTTTACCACGAGCCAGAAGGATATTTTCAACATTCCATTTATTATCATTATTGAAGTTAAATCATACTTTTTTGAAAACAATATATTAATTTGTTAAGCATAAATTTTTTAACATTGAAATTTTTATAACGATTTTTGTGCCAACCGTTGAAACAATTGCTGTCCAATTGAAAGTAAGTGCAAAACCGATAGTCATAAATATATTAATTTTATATAAATAGGATGTCCTGTCTAAAATGATCTGCTATAATTATTCTGAGAATTGGAATTCAACGTTATTTAAAAATTGTTTCTAAACTTTAAAGTGACAAATATCATTTATATTAAACAATATTTCTCCCTTTCGATATTTAGATACGGTTCTCGATCTTTGCTTTTTGAAATATTTGGAGCGGATCGTTTTACTGGAACACCCTGTATGTATGAAAGTATAAATATATGTATAGAGAGAGAACAGTTAAGTTATTTTATGAAAGTGACCTTGCTTTGTACCATAGTGTTTTGGTTTCGCAATACCCCCATTTCCCTTAGCTCCAGATGCCACCCACGATCCGATTTCTCTCCCCTCCCCCAATTTTACCTTCTCGTCATTATTCATAATATGATAGTGTATTGTGTACAGAATGAAAAAATTCAACCCATGTTTGCCTGTTATTTAAAAATTCAATGATAGGTATCATTTTCTAAAATAAAGTATTTTTTCCAAAAAATTCAATGGATTTATTATAAAAAAAGTACGGATGATATATTTCTGTAAAGTTGCTAAAGCTATGTATTTATAATAAAAATTATTTATTTTATAAATTGATGCTTGTCAACTTCATTAGATTTGGCTTGTTAATAATAACTCATCTAATTTGAGTTTTTATTTTACACTGATTAGCAGCTTTTTAAGACGTTCGCAATTGATTTTGCATCAATTTGTTTGAGAATATTCTTTTTTTCGTTTTTTTTTTTTAGGGATTTCTTTTAATTTTTTTTTATAAAAACAAACGGAAGATATCTTGGTTGATAAATGTAAGAAACATTTTAAAGGAGGAAGTTTGTCCTAAAGACTATTTGTACAATTTATTAGATGGTATCCATCTTATTTATGTTAGAATTTGAAAATTGGTTTCATTTGTCGTAAAATGAAATGATAAAATAGTCGTTGGAAAAATAATATCCTAGAGTTCCTAAAACATTTTGTTAACGAAATTTATTTGTTTTAAAAACAATTTAAAAGGTAGTCAAAATTTCATGCATGCATGTACTTTTATATTGACATGAATTATATAAAAAAATGTTAGTTTTGAATACATACAGGGTCTTAGTGAATATCTTTTACATATTTATAGGAAATGCAACAACTTTTAATAAGAAATTCATATGAAAACTAACAGTTTTTGAGTTATCATTGGCTTCTGAACAATTGATTTTCAAAGATTATAATCACCGTTCAAAATGAATGACCATCAAATCGTGCACATTGCACATCTGATGCATATTTGGGTTCCCTATTGTTACAAATACCAGGCTTTGTTTGAATTTCTTAACTATGCCATAATGTTCTAAAAAAAAATCTACAGAAGTTATGCAAGGAAAGTATGGTGTGGTTACTTTATTGATCTATCACGTCCAATCAGTCTGAAACAAATTTATTGGATTAGGGAGAACACCACACTCTCCACACATGACTCGCCTAGATTTATTTTTCTGCAATAACGGGTACCAAAATATGCTTCAGAGGTGCAATATTTGCATCGAAGATTGTGGACATCATTTTAAGCAATTTTTGTGGTATTTGACTGATAAAATATGATTACTTCCAGTCTTAACTCGAACTATCTTCACTATAAATTTTTAAAAGATATTAATTAACAAACTGTATATTAAAATACTTGAGGTTATGAAAATAGAATTAAACTGTAGCGAATAACTTAAAATGTGGATTATCTTCAATATGGATTACAGATATCTTTTGCTTACAAAAAAACTAAGTATAGTTTTTATAAAATTGATGGTTGTACATCAACGTTTGTAGTTTCCTAGAAAAATAAAATATAAACAATTTTGTAATATGTAAAATTTTGAAGAAAAAAAAACAAAATGTAAAAAAATCTATGCTTGTTCAAATAAATTCATTTGCTCTATTTAGTTTGATGCCAAATCAATACAAAAAAATCTCGATATTCAAAAAAAAAATGAAAATACTTAGATTCTAAGTTATATAATAGTTATATGTATATAAATGACGGCTTAATATTTTGAATATCTGTGAGGTTAAAATGCGAAATGTCTTGAAACAAGATCAAACTTTACACAAGGCGTTTGTCAAAACCGTTGCTGACTTAGAAATTTTTTGATTGGTTGAATAGGGTAGTGTACAGGGGCGGTCCGACGTTTTGGACGCCAAGTTGTTATGCAGTAAGTTTCGGCTGGTTTTGCAAGCACCTTATAGTAATAATGTAAATATCTTGTAATATTTGTGCTGCAATATTAAAGTCTCGGACCAACTTTTCAGAAAGAAATTTATCGTATTGCGAAAGAGGAATCTTGGTTGTGAATGTCAAATTTGACTTTTTAATTATTTAAAATACAGATGAAATTACTTATTAGATGGATAATTTACAAAGGTTTTGTCGTTTTGATTATAAATTAGTATTATTATTTTCGAGCGGAACGAATTTGAAACGTGAAAAAGGAATTAGTTTCAGAAATATGTCAAAACATCCTATGCCTATTTCAAAATTTAGTTTAATACAATTTTTTCATTTTTGTAATCGTTCTTAAGAAATTTTATAACTCGATAATCTATATTTAAATTTCGAATGACAAAACAGATATTTGATAGCAATATGTTGCTAAAACATACAAATGCTTTATGTTCGGTATTGACCATTACTTTAACAATACGCTATAAAATGATAAAAGTATTTAATTAGTTAAAACAATATAAATAAAATTTCTGAACATAACTGCTTGACATTTGAACTATAATTAAAATTAATTTTTTTACAGTCTATTTTGAACATTGCATCAAAAAATTTAGTAGGTAGCAAAAAGTATTCATTATTAAACTCTTGTAGTCTTGGAAAATTTTAATTAATGAAGCATGTACCATGAAATGTTTACCTACTCAAAATCGAAGTGATATTTTAAAATAAAATGGGTAGCTAATAATGCATAATTTGTAGTAGTAGAAAAAAAAGTAGTTTTTGTAATATTTTAGTCATTTGATGATGTATTTACTTTGTGCCTTTAGTTACAAGGAAAAATATCCATCGAAATTCAATTTTATGCATTTTGTAGTTTAGTACGACTGTCGAGAATAAGAAAAAGATACAGGGTTGGCCATGCGTGTTTGAATTTTTAACTTCTGGCTAAAGTATCGAAAATTGCCTAAGTAAAAGTTTTGTATTATTTAATAACGAATATTGTTTTTTAGTAACTGATTAAGCCAATTTCCAAAAATATAATGACTACTGAAAATTAATATTCGGCATTTAATAGTACAGTAAATCTATCAAAACAATGTTTTGATCAAACTTCTGGGTTGTCCCGAAATAGTTGTCACATGTCAAACGCTGTCGATATATATTTTTTTTATTAAAATTCGTGAAGCTTTTATGGGTTGTCAGAATTTGTAATTTTTGATTTTTAAATAAATACAAAATTATAATAGCAGTATGAAAGTTCTATATTTTATGAATTGGTAGGTAAAATGTGACATTCATGATCCTTCTGGTAGTTGGTCTTGGATTTAAACAAGCAAAACATGTCCATATGGTTAAAAAAAACTCGCAACTAAAATTACATGTTACTTATTTATACTGTGCTGTTTGTGTAAAAATAGTGGTATTCGCTGACCACGGACTTTTGTGATAAGAATAGTTAAAAAGTCATGTTCTAGAATGCAAAAATGTATCGTTATATTATTGTTTAATTGTACTGTACCTATACTTTTATTTTATACAATCGTTCACATATTTTTTTCTTT